AACTGTAGTCATGCCAAGCATGCTAGAGACAAAGGCAGTCTGCAAAGCAATAAAGCAAGACAACTACAAGGAAAACTGTTTTCCAGCAGCTTGGCAGTTGCACATATAAACCCACAGAGTTGTGACAGCATGTACAAGGCCTACACAAGCTCAAGCCAGGCAAAACCCCAGCATGGGGGTGGGGAGGAGGGGCAGTGAACCAGAGGTCCCAAATGAGGAACTAACCATGATTGGTAATTGGGGGGAGGAGAGAGAGAGAGAGAGAGAGAGAAAGAGAGAGAGAGAGAGAGTCAGTTTTCTTAAAGCTATGATGCTTGATAGGTTAACCAGGCTCCAAGGGATGAACCCACATCTGAGAGCATTTGGATAATACAAATTAGATTCAAAAGTCTTTTAAAATTAATAGCAGAGGACCCAAAGTTGGGGGTGGGGGAAGGAGATAGTGATGGGGAGGGGCCTGAATGTGACCAAAATACATTGTATGAAATTCTCAAAGAATCAATAAAAATATTTTTAAAAGGAAAAAAAATCCAAGAAGAAAAAAGAAATAATAAATCTAAGAGTAGAAATCAATGAAAGAAAAATTACTAGATAATAGAAAGCATCCCTTGTTGTCTTATTTTTAATTCAAAAGACAAATAAAGAGAACAAATTTCTACTAGGTTGGAGAGCCAAAAAGAAGACTTATGAAGTCATCATACATAAAAAAGAAAACATTGTTGCAGAAATGGCTGGCATTATCAAACAAAATGTATTGCTGACAACTTCCTGCTGATTATTTTGAATATTGGGCAGAGCTCACAAGTTGCTAACTAATGATAATTTCCAAAGATAATCAAGAAGAAACACAAAACCTAAACAGCTCAATAACATGAAAGCAATTGAATCATTACTTAAAATTGTTACCACAAAGAAAACATCAGACTTAGGTTTTATAGAAAGCTCCACAAAATAACCAAGAAAAAAATAATTCTTATTTTACCCAAGCTACTCCAGAATATAGACAAAAACAAAACAACAACAACAAAAAAAAAAAACCCTCCATTTTATGAGTCAAATATGCCTTGCTACTAAAGCTAGGTAGCCACAAAAAGAAAAGGAAAAAATTTTAGACTATAAATGTATTTATAATAGCATCCAATATCAAGGAATGAAAATTACCAAATAGTAAGGAAGACTGTACTATGAATTTTTTTCCTTTGTTTTTTATCTTTTTTTAGATATATTTCATTTATTATTTTTATGTTTATGAGTGTATTGTCTGCATGTATGTGAGTGCACCTGTGTCGTGCAATGCCAAGGCGGTCAGAAGAAGGCTTCGGGTTCCCCTGGAACTGGAGTTAAGGACAGTTCGTAGCTGCCATGTGGGTGCTGGGAATCGAACCCTGGGTCCTCTGCAAGAGCAGTCAGTGCTCTTAATCACTGAGCCATCTCACCAGCCCCTGTTTTTTGTCTTTTTGAGACAGGGTCTCTCTGTAGTCCCAGCTGGCCTGGAACTCACTATGTAGACCAGATTGGCCTTGAATTCACAGAGATTCACCCACCTCTGCTCCTGAGTGCTGGAATTAAAGGCGTGCAACACCATGGGGCGGGAGGGGGGCGGGGCTCTGTACTGTGAGCTTTTAAAGATGTCACAGAAGACTTAGACACACACAGCATACCATTCACATGGACAAAAACACAATCTCCTGATAAAAGATGTAAGATCCTCCCAAAATCAATATTCAGATTAATGTGATTCTGGAATAAACTTCAGAAGTATTTTTGTAGAATTATAAAGTAGCTCTGAAATTTACCTGGAGGATCAGGTAGTTAAGAATAATCAAAGCATTTCAGGGGAGGGGAGGGGAGGGGGAAGAGGGGAGGGGAAGGGGAAGAGGGGAGGGGAAGGAGGGAAAGAAGAGGAACCAAAGAGAACAGAAGGAAGGGAAAAAGAGAAGAGGAATCAAAGACGGGAAGGGAAGCAGCCCTGCCAGATGTAAGGATAACAGAGCAGAAGCAATTGAGATAGTGTGGTGTCAACACAGAAGTCAGCAAAAGGACCAGTGAGCTAGAACCCACCTGTATTAGTCAGGGTTCTCTAAAGAAACAGAACCGGTAGAATGAATATATATATATATATGTATAGAGATTTATCAGCTTAGCTCACAGGATAGAGTCCGAGTAGTCCAACAATGGCTGCACCACACTGGAGAGGCTGAGAATCCGTAGTCGCTCAGTCCACAAGCCTGGATGTCTCAGTAGCCTCAATCTGGCACTGAAGGTCTGACAAATTCCAAAAGATCAGCTAGTTTTCATGTTCTATAGTAGCAAGACGAACTCACCAGCGAGAGAGAAGGCAAGCAGCAAGAAGACTGGCATTCTCTTTTGCCTTGGCCTTTTATATGGGCTGCCATCAGAAGGTAACACCCACATTTAGGGTGTGTCTTCCGGCTTTAGATGATCCAATCAAGAAGATTTCTTTCATTTCAGTTAATCCAAGATCCAGTCAAGTTGACACCCAGGATTAGCCATCACACCACCCCAAGCTACCTTCACATAGACGGAAACTGGGCATGTGGAAACATTGATACTGCAGATTAAAGGGAAGAGAATGTTTTAATTGATACATTTTTGGACAGCAGATTAAAGGGAAGAGGATATTTTAACTGATACATTTTTGTACAACTGAAAAATAGGAATAGAAACCTACCTCACAGGCTGTCTAAAAATCATTTCTAATTCTAGATGTGTGGAAACATTAAAAACGAAAATCAAAACTTTAAAATTTAAGCTATATCATACAGGAATACCTTTATAATATTAAAATAATGAAGCATTTTTAAATAAAATATGCATAGTGCAAATTGTAAGTGAAATGATTCACAAATTCAACTACAATAGAAGTAAACACATGGGGCTGGAGAGATGGCTAAGAGGTTAAGAGCACTGGCTGCTCTTTCAGAGGACCTGGTTTGATTCCCACATGGCAGCTAACAACTGTCCTTAACTCCAGTTCCAGGGGATCAGACACCCTCTACTGACCTCCACAGGCATTGTATGGTACATGTGCACTTATATACGTGCAGGCAAAATGAAAAATGAAAATAATAAAGAGCATAATAAATGAAATGAACATAATACACAAAAGTGAAAATAACAAATTAAAATATTTTTAAGTAAACACATTTAAGCCAGGTGTGATAGTACACACCTTTGATCCCAGCACTCAGGAGACAGACAGGCAGGCAGATCACTATAAGATTGAGGCCAGCCTGGTCTCTGTAGTGAGTTAAAGGCCAGCTGGGGCTAGGGAGACCCTGGCTCAAAAAAAAGATTAAAAAAAAATTTCTTTTCTTTAAGCACATTTATTCAGGAAAGAAACATCAGTCACAAATGAAAATTATATAAGCAAACAATACCAACAGAAGATTAGTATCAAATATATACCAATGATCAAACATCAGTAAGAAAAAAATCAAAAAATGACCTCAAAATTCTTGTAAGAACACATACCTAATCTCATTAATTATTTGAAAAAATAAAAATAAAATCATGTCTCATACTTTGTAGAACAACAAACATTTTTGACAATACCAGTTGTTGGGGAATATGTGGAGCAAAAGAAAGACTTTCATACTGACCAAGGGGATTTAAATTAGAAAGGAAGACATTTTGGAATCAAGTGATAAAATTAACCACACACATCCATGCTCTGTAGCCCAGCAATTCCACTCCTACATTTTGACTCTGGAGAATGTTGATGGTAGCATGTAATTACAGAAAGCAGGAACAATTTAAATTCCCATTGCCAGAAAAATGGATAAATGAATGCAATGAGATACCATACAACAAATTTAAAAAGATGTAGAAAAATATTATAGCAATCCATGCTAACAGCTAAACTTTGCATTTGAGTGAAAAAAGCAAAGTGCAAAGATATATCTGGAGTATGATTTAGAAACTAGTAATGTTATACGTGTGTGTGTGTGTGTGTGTGTGTGTGTGTATGTGTGGTATGTGTGTCGTAAATGCTATAAAACTATACAGACAAGCAAGAAGTGATCAGCACAGGAACAGGAAAGAACTGTGAGACCCTCCAGAGGAAGTTGTGGGTCTACAATGAGTAGAGAGAACATGGCCCCTGAGGGTGCTGGATATCCCTTTCTCGAGCTGCACTATAGACACCTGTACCCGTCATATCACCTTAGTGATACAGGTTCATGCTCTCTGCAGTCCTGTATGTATCACAGTGAAACAACCAGTTCAATTGCTAGATGTTAAAGAGCAGTAACTAGAATCTCTAAAATAGACCAAGTAGGTGTTAAAGGATAAATTAAGAAGTTCCAAGTCAAGGCTGAAATTAGTAAAAAGTGAAAAGAAAGCTTTCAAGTGGGGCAGGGGCTCCTGCTGGTACCCTTGAAGGTTGCTGGGAATTTTCTGTTTCATGAAATAAATAAATGCTTTGCGAAGGAAAACTTGAGCAAATGAATAATGAGTTTCTTTTGATCCGGAAATCTCATAGAGACAAAGAAAATATTGTCCTTTTATAAATATGAGGACATTTGTATTAGCTACTTTTACAAATAAAAGTTTCTTTTCCCTCATGTAGCAGGAAGCCCAGAAGTAGGCAGTGCTGAGCTTGTTCAACAGTTAGAACTTTCTAAGTTCAGGCTCCTGTCTTCCAAGCTGCTCCTTATAATGTGGTTTTTTTGTCCCCTGCAGCTACTGACTTCTCATTTATCATTAATGCAGCATTAGAGACCCTTTCTCGAGTCTTGTCATCAAAGTAAAGGCATGCCTAGGACTCACAGCCTCACACAAGGATCTTGGTGGTCAGAATAATATCATGTGGCTGTTTCTTCCTGCAAGACAGCCCAAGGAAGTAATTATTTTGCCACTCCATGCAGTAATAGTACCAGACCAAAGGGAAGTGGTAAGGGTAGCAATGGTTTCTGAACAGTTATTCATTGGTGCTTGTCAAAATACCCGACTCAGAATTTTCCTTCTTCTCACCCCAGGAGCCAGTCTGCGTGACGACTTATACAAATATTTCTCCTTCCATCACTCCCACGGAGACACCATGACGGTCATGGATCCGAAGCAGATGAATGTCGCTGCCGCTGTCTGGGCTGTGGTCTCATATGTAGTTGCTGACATGGAAGAAATGCTTCCAAGGTCCTAAGGAAGGCAAAAAGGAAGCCCCTGTCGTTCTCTCTAGCTGGAAATCCTGGCTCGGCAACTTCAGGACATCCATCTTCATGAAACAGTGTCGTCCAGTTCATCTTCGAAGCACAGCTTTTTCACACCCTCTGTTATCTTTCCTTAATGCTTTTCAACCTATTTCTAGAATAAAGAATGGTCCCCACAATCCCACAGAATCAACACATGGTAGGGAGCACAGTGAAGACATTACCTTATACCACTTTAACATGATTTTTCTTCCACTCTGAAAATAAACAATAAATCTTTGAAAAGCTCTGGCTTTACATATTCATTTATGAGCATTAAATTACATGCAAGGAAACCAATGTGTGATTTGTGTTATTGAAATAGTAGAAGAAATACCTTAATTGAATATATGAAGACATTTGGTTGACTAATTTGTACATCTCATATAATTCTTAAAATGAGATATGGAATTTTCAAATAGTAAAAAATGTCTGCATTTGGAAAAATCAAGATTACATAATCAAGGGCCTTGTTAAGGATGAGTACTAGGATCTATCACTAGATGAATGATTTTGCCAGTGAACATGTATGTTTTATATGCTTCCATTCCCAGGCTTATTTAATACTTGGTTGAAACTCAGAGAGGCCAAATAATATTCACAGAATTCCTCAGAGGAAAAACTTTTTCTCACCCACTCTCCAGACAATGCTACAGTGTCTAATGGCCCATAAAGAATTACACAGCAGAGGGGGCTGGAGAGATTGCTCAGTGGTTAAGAACACTGGTTGTTCTTACAGAAGACCCAGGTTCGAATCCCAGCACCCACGTGGCAGCTAACAACTGTACGTAACTCCAGTCCCAGGGGATCCAACAGCTTCTTCTGTCC